GCAGCAGTAGGTGTACTAGAAAATATCGCTGTATTTAAAGCTGTAACTTTACTGTCCAGCATACCATCTAATGCCTTTCTGCAGAAACATGCTGAGTTCGTATTGTGCTTAGCATTGAAATTCTTACTTGATAATTCTCTAGTTTTACTTTGGGTTGGTTGGAAAGAATGACACCCTCCTCCCTGGCTTTCAAAAGGTTTTGACATTTTACTCTTAAGTAAGGGAAGAGAAATTTGATTGTAAACAGCTGATTCTTCAATTACCTGTTTCTCTTTATTTGATTGAGATGAGTGAAATTCTGGCTCATCAGGTTTTGCTTTAGTGGCTTGGTAACTAGGAGAAGTAAACCTCTCTGCTAATGCAGGTGGAAACCATATAAAATCATCAGTATATGCTGGATCATCACGTAAAATAATACTCTTATTTTGGAAAGTAAGTTGAGACGAATCATTTAGAGTGTTGCATTTATACAATTCTTCATCGTATTTATCCTGAGTTAAGAAGCTATCCACTTCGGGGCAGCTCTCCTCCTGGTCCTTCAGTAAAGGGTCATGGAGTTTTTTAGACAAAGTGGAGCTATTTTCATATTCTTCTAAGCTGCCATCTTTAGAGCTTTCTGTAAAAAATAGTTCCTGTTGTGAATCATCCAGCTTTTCATCTGTATCATAAGTTTCTTCATCACTTTGAAGTGGAGAATAGGAGATTTCACAGTTGCTAAAGTCATTTTCTGGCAATGTCAAATTTATGTGTTCTGGGCTGTTTTGACTGTCTAATTCTTCAGCAAGAGGCAAATCAAATCCTACCAGTTTGTCATTATTAACAAGTTCTGTAAATTGTGGGACTTGTTGGGAAGTTTGGATATTTGTCGAAGAGGAAACCTTTTTATCAGTTTCAGTTGGAGACTGAGATTTTCTTAGACATTGTGTCACTAACAAGGGATCAGTTGAAACATTTTTTTTAAAGTTATCTGTTTGTTTCTGATATGAAGACCATCTTTCCTTAAGGCTACAAAGAAAGCCTGAATTAGTCTCACCGAAACTCCCACCTGACTCATGGGATGGATCGCTGAAAGGACTATTACTAGCCCTGCTTTGAGCTAGCAGGTGATGAGTGTATCTCTTGTAATGAGAAGGAATTGTTGAGGAACACTGAAGAGCATCAGGACACTCTGAAAATTTTAATAAAGAAAAAAGTATTACCGGATCAAAGCACAGACTAAGCTTTGACAGTATTAGCACTACAAATTAACATGTAAGTGGAAAGTCATCAGTCCAACTTTGAGGCCTTAGGACAATAGCTATCATTATATAAACAAAAAATCAGCACACAATAACAGCAATCCAGTATGGTTTTGGAAGGTGCTAGTTATTATTTTTAAATCAATATATTCTTTTAAATTTCTTTTCAAATACTCTTCCCCCCCCCAGCAAAATCTAAGACTAACACCTTTTTCTCCCCACTAAAAACTTTCACAAATATGAGCTCCTCCAAAATGCATGTCATGCTTGCACTAGGTATTTCTGAAGCAGGTGCTACAAATTGATCCCATCAGTTTCACTCCGTCACTATTGCTCAAGCAATAAAGAGTAGAGAAGGCTGGTATGTCTCTCACAGACTAAAAGTTCTACCTCAATTTTTGTCTTATCAGGTAACACATACGTATGACAGTTGCAGTACCAAATTAGGTTCCGTTATTTAATATTCACACTGTATATAAAACAGTAATAGCAATCTTAATTACAGCTGTTCATACCCTAAACATTTTAGGTTCTGTTCTAAGATTTGAAATTCAGTTTGATAAACCGGTTAATAATAAGGCTTTAATAATCTGGAAACTATTCCCTGTCATACCTTTATGACTGAGAAACAGTCTGTAAAGCATCTTGGCATACCCCACCCCTTGTATGTTCATTTTCAGGCCCGTCAAAAAATGATCCACCCCCACAAAAAGAAGATGTCACATTAAACTGGAGACTTCATTGCTTAAAAATTAAGTTAAAACCACCTCATAAAAGTATATGTTATAGAATAAAATTCAATTCAAGAAGAATCCACCTGAGATTATCTGTTCAAAGGAGTTTAATCAGTGAAAAAACCAAGAGAAAAACTCTTTGAGGTGGCTTCATCTATGAGATATTTCACCCTGACTGCTCACCATGGGATTCCAGCTGCCATTTCTGACTTTCAAGCCACTGAAAAACAAATTACTAGCATTTGATGAGGCTTTCTCGGTTGTATAAGGCTAGTGCCAATTTTTTTTAAGTTATTTTGCATCTTCATGCAGTACTTTAAAATGAGAACTGGAAGTTAATAATAAAACGTATTCTGAATCATAGTTAACACGAAAGCCATACTGAATATTATTTTTATTTTAATGAATTTTGATTCTTTGAGATTTAAAAATTTATGTATGGTATATATAACTTTTAAATAATCAAATCATCAATAACCATCCATTCTCCATATACTACAAGTAGGATTTTCTACATATTAAACATGATATTTATTATATAGTTTAAATGATAACAGAAACATAGTATTACTTCAGTTCTCATTTGGCACAATTTTATTTATTAGAATCTTAATAACCAAACACTCCTTCCTAGTTCTTCTTTCTGTCCATTAGCATGATGACCCCAACACAGCCGTATTTAGAAGGCTGGACTACATTCATGATTCTCTAAAAGTCTGTTTCATAAAAGATAACAAAATGGGCAAGTTGTTTAGCTTTTAAGAACCCTCATCTATCAGATGTCAATACCACCTACCTTATGCAGGTGAAAATATCTACCATAATATGTGCTCAATTAACATTTATGAAAAATCACAGATTTTTCGGGACTCTTATGAAATAGTAAAATGCATTTATACTGTTTTCAAGTTTGCAACTTGAATTGACTGTTATCTTTTTACCCTTCACAAGAAGTGTAACAATGCATTACCTTGTTTCCTTCTACGGTTAAGTCATTTATACTTTGAGTATCTCATCTCATTTTTGGTTTACTGCTTACCTGGCTTGTTTCACTGGACTGATATGTCTGGCCTAATGCAGGTCTTTTTGACTATTTAGAGTCCACTATCTTTTTTGGAATCTTACCTGTTTCGGAGACTGGTATGGAATCCAAACACTCAAAAACATGCCATCGAGGTGTTTGACCTAGCAAGGAGGAAAAAGGCATCTGGCAGTTTGGACAGTACCCATCATAAACCGGTCGTATCTTCGGAGACACGTGTTTGTTTTTGTGAGTCCTACGGTGCTTTCCTGGAGTGGCCTCCCTGTCTTGACACTGCTGAATACCGTCTCCACAACTAGAGTTCTGACTGGAAGCGACAGAAGTCTGACTGTCTGTTTCTCCAAGGCACGTTTCGGGGGCCTTAACCTTCTTTTTACCTTCTACAGTTCTTTTTTTATTTCTGTTTCGTTTTGACTGGTATTGTCCATCTGTTGCTTTCTCAACAGATTTTGGAATATTCTCAGAGCAATTATTTGGATGTACTGGTTTGGGTTTTCTTTTGGATTTGTATTCCCAGATGTCTTGTTCCAGAAAAGCATCCTCTAACATGGCAAAATGATTTTGATCATTAAAGAAGCACTAATCTTAAGTAAATTGAGGGTCTATGTCTTGTTTCAAAAATTTTAAATGGAATTATTTTGCTCAGGAAAAAGAAGTAACAGAAAACCCACCAACTTGATGGGAATCTAAAGCTCTGATGATGATTATATTGGCAAACTACAAACCTTATACATGAGAACACCTGCTGTTTCATTTATAGCACAATAAAATTAACATCTGAGTTTTCCATTGTGTGTATTTCGTTCAGGTATCTTGGCTTTTTCCAGGACTTGATTCATAAAAAGTAGTATCAGTAATACTTTGAACACTAAACCCTAATGGGAAGTATAGGTTTAACAGTTCAATCTTAGAAGGAGCTTCGTAAAATTGTTATAAAGCTCCTGTCAGCTCTCTTTCAACCGGACAATTGTCCAAATAATTCACAAACCCAACCACAGTCCCTGGGCAACTGGCTCAGCAGGTGTTCCAAACACTTAATGGCTACTTCAGTTTCCTAGTGACACTAGTCACACCATAATCAAATGTGTGTGATTGGCAAAAAAAAAACAAAAACGCGCCCTTATCCGTGACTGGTGGATATTCGACAACTTCAGTTTCCTGGGTCAATCCAGTATCTTCCTCCAGCGGCAATGAACAAACACTGCACAATGAACAAACAAAATTCAAGTATGTGAAGTTGTGCTTGCACTGAGGCCACCCACACTCCTATCTCCAGACCCCAGAGGTGGTCTGCCTGAAGGTGATCAGCTCTCTCTCCCGCAGCCTCAAAACCAAGCTTCACCTGCCTGATGCCTCCCACCGGCTCGACCGCCTCTTTGGGCATTAAAGGCTGCAAGGCCAGCGGAGTAGGCCCTCATCCCCTCCAGGGAAGGGAGCGAGGGAGCTGCCAGCACAGCTCGCTCCACAAAAGCCACCAGTGCTCTCCACTTCTGAAGACAGAGGCCGGGCCCTCAGGGATCCCCGCGGTCGCCCACCTGCCACCCTCGCGCCTCGGGAGTAGCTCCAGCTGCGTCCGCTCCCATCGTGCCCCCTCCCCCTGCTTGGCTGACAATCTATTCGCACCCGCACTTTCAGCACTGCAGGGTAACAAAATGCTGCGTTTGCATATAAGCCAAGGCCATTGGCTAGTCGCTCACAACTTTAAAAAGCCTACTCCTTTACCTTTCGTGCCGTGGCGGAACAGCTTCGCGTTCCCAATGCTGTGTCGAATCGGCTGATCTGGTCTAAACGTGAGACTTTAAAAAGAAAAAGTTAGGACCCTTTTAAATCCTACGGATTTATTTTGTTTTGTTTTAGTTCTAAAACCTGCTAATTTCCAAAGTGAAGGGTGAGGAATTGTTCTCTTGGAGCTTCTAGAACGCTGGCCCAGAAGCCTTTTCCATGTTGAATCTGGCGCTCTGAATGTCCAGGCTCAGCTGCGGCGAGAAGATTTAGAAGGGGCGGGGTAGGTTGGGACGGTAGTTTAATTACGTGCCTGGGAATTGCGTCAATTTGTACTTTAGCATTTGAAAAAAGTGCTGTGAACGTGGAGTGGGGCTGGTGGAGAGTGAAGCGAATGTGCGGTTTTGAAACCAGAGGACCGTAAGTTCCTCTCCCTCCAAACGAGACCGTCCCGCGGGCTCTGCGGCCGCCTCTGGACCGTCCGGAGAGAACATGGCGGCGCCCGGAGCCCGGAGCTGCAGCCTCTCGGGCCTGCTCCCGGCTCAGACCTCGCTGGAGTACGCTCTGCTCGACGCCGTCACCCAGGAGGAGAAGGACAGCCTGGTCTACCAGTATCTGCAGAAGGTGGACGGCTGGGAACAGGACTTGTCAGTGCCCGAGTTTCCGGAAGGTGAGGGGCTGGCTTCGGGGTGGGGACCCCTCCCGGAACCTCCCCTTCCTCGGGGACGGCGCCCTCCCCTGAAGCGGTGGGCTAGGCGTGGTTCTGCGGCCGCGCCGGGCAGAGGCGCTTCGCCCAGCCGAGCCTCTGTCCCCAGGCGGCGGCGGCGGCGGCGGCGGCGGCGGCGGAGGAGGAGGACCGGGGGTTTGTGGAGGGCGGGCACATGTATCTTTGTCTCTGTTTCCTCCCTATCTGCCCGGGCCGTGTGTTAACTCAGTAGACTTTCCCTGACTGTTTCGTGACCCCTGTTGGCAGTGATTCCAGTGTCCGCGCCCATTCAGTCTGGTTGCCCAGCATCGTCATCATCTTTGTGCGTCATCCTAGCTTCCATTTATTGATCACTTCTTATGGGCCACACACAGCCCTAAACACAAGGGTATTATCTTATTTGATCCTCTCTGCAAACCATTTGAGGTGCTCTTCTTAGCCCTGTTTTATAGTTGGGAAACTGAGGCCCGGGGACAGGGAGGTTAAGTCGTCTGCCGAGGGCCTCACAACTGAGAACGGCTAGAGTTGGATTATACAGACACCCCTCCCCCCCCGTACTGCATCGGCCGGTTTCTTAACTGTGTCACACTCCTCCGTTCAAAGTCGTGAACCTTGTAATTTTAATAAATCTGAATCAATTATGGCCAGCTTCCAGGTTTGAATCCTGGCTCTGAATGTTTGGAGCACGAGGGAACTGATAGTCCCAGCAGTGCTGTTTGTGAAGCTCATCTTGCTATGATAAATGAAACCGAACTTTACCTTCTTTGGTTGGGACTGGCATTGTTTTGACTGGTGGTGTTGGCGTGTCTCCTGGCATGACACTGAAACCACATGTATAGTTAATTGGTTCGATGTGGCAGGGTTCAGTATCTCATGGGAGGTCTATTGGAACCTTGCCTCTGACGACAGCCTCGTCTTTCGAAGCCTTTTGCTCTCGCCTTCATACGTGCTTACTTTATCTGTTATTAATCCTATACTGGACTTGAATTATTGTGGAATTCTATCAAAAGAATTGGGTGCATTAGTGCTTATCCCATCAAAGAAACTTTAAAAGTTTATATACATGAATGTGTATTTTTTTTAAAAGTCTGTAAGAAGTTAGTTATATATCGTACCCTGTCGTAAAACGGGCATGCCAGCAGCTAGGATTTGGGCCAGTGTTTTTATTTTCTTGTTTGTATCTACGATGAGTGTATTTCATTACTATGAGATTTGATCTTTGTGACTCATACATAATACAACAAAATATTCAGGTTTCATATTTGACACAAATTTTCTGCTGGACCTGATTATTGAGAACAGAATACTAGATGTGAGTTTTTTCTTGGTTTCTTTATCAGTTATTGTAATCAGGAAGTTATAAACATAACTCAGAAACACTGTGCTTTGTTAATTTCTTCAAAGAAACATGTTTTATGAGAAGCTGTGTGGTATAATGGATGGATTCAGACAGATCCGGAATTAAATCCCAGTTATTCCATTTGTCAGTTGCATGATTTTAAGCAAGTTAGTTGACTTTGCCAAGCCTTACTTTTCTCACTTATAAAATGGAAGCAATTATTTACCTTTCAGGTTTATTATGCAGACTATATAGTATATCTAAAGTTCTTACTTCATAGGGGAGCTCAGTAAATGTCATTGTTAGCAGCTTTTAAAGTTATATTTATTGTTATTATTGTTATTATAAAGTGAATTATTAAGTCTGGTAAGCACCTAGCACAATAAGTGACTGTAATTATACTTTCCCTGCCTCTCCAATCTAAGTCACTTGACTATTTACAGAAAATAAATTTGAGACAAATTCATAAATATTTTAAAATTAGGATTTGAAATATACATAATTAGTTTGAAGTTTTATAGGGTCACTTGATCTGGCATACTATTAAAACTTTATCAAAATGGATATTTAAGACCTCACTGTACCCTAAACCTCACTAGGTGTGACTAATTGGCAGAAATATTAGTTTGATTTGCAGACTTTTCTTTTTTTAGAATTTTGTTTTAATTGAGTAACTTCAGTTGCTGTTATTAGTTGTTAGCTGTTATTATTCATTTGTTCCACCCAGCTTTGGCTTTCAGTTTGTATAAAATATTTCCAAATACCTGCTTCAAGTTATAATTAATACTTTTAGTATCTGCATTTATTTACTTATAAGCAACAAACTCATTATCTTTGTTTCCTTAAATTGGTTAAACAGAGATGCTGTACTTTTAATCTACTTTTGTGTAACAAAATTTTTCTTCATAGTGCATAGTTAAAATTGTAAATCATGGTCAAGTAATTATAAATTCTAATTTACAAAAGCACAGATTAATGAGATTCTGTTTTTCTTTGGAGGGAAGGAAACATGCTCTTCTTTAATATTAATGTTGCTTCCATGAAATCTATAATAATAGCAGTGTGTTTTGCTTAACTTTGCATTTAAAATATTTTGTATTTAAGGTCTCGTTCAAATCCAGAGCATTTCAGCTCTTTTATGAAATTGGCTTAGGTATTTTGTATGTTTATCCTTATATTTTAACACTGTTTTTTGATATTTATTCTTAAGGTTGACCTTCATTCTCAGTAGCCCATTTGTACCTAATCATGTACTTAAGTCCTTTTAATATTTGATATTTCCTCTTATTTTTACCTAAATATGTTAATCTTACTTCCTTTCACACACAGACTAATATACCATTTCTGAAAGAATTTAGTAGCTTTTTCTTACTATATTTGCAGACTGTCTCATAGTAGTAGCTTTCCCATCTTCTACCTCCCCACTCCCTTCCTGCCCTGCCAGTCCCTTCCTTAGAAATAATAATTGTTCACATTTTAATAGAAAGTTTTAAGTAAATTATCTTGATCATTTCCTTTAATCGTTTTTTATTTTCTGTAAATTTCAGGATTAGAATGGCTGAACACAGAAGAATCTATTTCTGTCTACAGGGATCTATGTGGAAAAGTGGTCGTCCTTGATTTCTTCACCTACTGCTGCATAAACTGTATTCACCTGTTGCCTGATCTTCATGCATTAGAGCACACATACTCTGATAAAGGTATCTGCCCTTTAATTGGTTTCTAACAGTCTGTCCTGGCATAGTCACTGGAAGAGTAGCTGACTCATTTTGCTCATAGGAGAATGAAACATTTGGCAAGACTTCAATGATTCTAAAGCAATTTCTAATCTATGAATTAAGGACTCCATGTACCTTTTCTTGAAGAGTTAAGCTTAGTGATAATGGTTTGCCTTCCTAAAGAACCAGCATTTAGTCTATGGTCTTTCTTTAAAGATAGGACATAGTTTACTTTTTTCATGATCAAGTATTTTAAAAAGGTCATTTTATATACGTGGACTTACCTAAATTTGTTCTATGAAGAAAAGAAAAAATGAAATGTGTGACTAATTTTATATTCTTCTTGTTGTGATAAAAAGGTTTAAAGTTCTTATTAGGAAATATGAATAAGCTTCCTTTAATTTCAAATGACATAAACTACTACCTGTGCTAATATTTTGGAAGGCAAAATATTATAACAGATACTTTTTCTTTGACCCTGCTTTATTTAAAAATTATTTATAAAGGTTAATGTTTTCCAAAGCACACCAGGAAATCCTTTTTTATGGTATTACAAATTCTGAAAATGTAAGAGGTTATACTTAGTATTTTCTTTAGAACTTTGACATTTTTTCAGATTTTTTTCTTGTTTACTTCTTTCTAAAAAGAGAGCATATGGGATAAATGAAACTAATTAAAGGTTCCATTTAATTAGGCTTAAATTAATTGCAGCTGTCCTCTTGGCAGTGACTAAAAAGAAGAGGGGGTTACTGATCTTGTGAGAGTAAAGATGAGAATAGAGTATACATGTACAAAAATGAAGGATTTCTTGAAACTTAGTTTAAAAAAAGGAGTGTTGAATAAAACCTTCAGTGCAGGTGAAACTTCAGATGCTTTTAAAATGTAACAGACTGTATCTTGGAATTGCCTATCGATGAGATTTACCAAGAACTCAAATATTCCCAATAGCTAAACCATGTTTTCAAAAATTCATCTATATTTAAGAAACATGAGTATTTCATTATCTCCTAGGTTTTGGATACTTGTGTGTCTTGTTCAAGTCCATGTAATAAATACATTTATTGAGTATTATGTGCAGGGTACTCTAACTGCTGGGGAAATATGTAACAAAGTTGAATTAAAGCATTATGGAACATGGGGAAAGGACTAACTCACTTTGCCCAGAAGCTTTGGAAAATATTTCTCAAGAGAAGGAGACAATTAAGCTGGAACTTGAAAAATGAGCAGGAGTGCAGCTGAAAATGAAAATGGGGCAGGAGGGACACTCCTGGCTGAGGAAGTGACAGGTAAACAAGGAGGGAAGCACAGAAGAGTAGGTTTGGAGAGTGGTAAATAGTTTAGTGTCTCAAGGTTATAGGGGCCCCTGGGAAGAGTTAAAGGGGAGGAAGGCAGATTAGGTTCAGACTTGCGTTACGAAGGGCTTTGTATAACGTTCTTAATAGTTAATGGACTTTTTCATCCACTGAAAGTACAGAGATGTTTAAGGTTGTTTTTGATTTACTTGTTTAAGAGGAGGATGACAGTACGATTTGTGTTTCAGAATGGCACTTACAGACTGGGTTAAAAAATCCCAAAGTTAACCATTTCCTACTTAAGATCACCCCTAATGGACTGTTTAACTTAATTGGTTAACCCCATACCTGAAGCAAATTCAGTGGCTTCTTAGAATGGATCCTTAACAATCTCTTTACCAGTTTACTGAAAATACTTTTATAACACATTGTGACAAAAAATAATAACTATTTTTTATATATAAATACACTTCTGAAAAGTAAAATACTTTGTAAGTGGTTTCAACATTGTAATTTCAAAGAAACATTACTTCGTTATTATGCTGCTGTATGAAAATGCTGGTAACTTAGAAATAGAAGATTTTTGTATTGCTTAGAAGATAAGTTCAGTTCATACTCACAAAAGCAGGCATACCTAGAGATTATCATATGAAAGTTCAGTAGGCTGTCACTAAATTTGCTTTCTTGCTGCTGTCTTTTTTATTTTTATTGGAGTATAGTTGATTTACAATGTTGTGTTAGTTTCAGGTGTACAGCAAAGTGAATGAGTTATATATATGTATATATCCATTCTTTTTCAGATTCTTTTCTCATATAGGTTATTACAGAATATTGAATAGAGTTCCCTGTGCTATACAGTAGTTCCTTGTTAGTTATCTATTTTATGTATAGTAGTATGTATATGTTAATTCCAATCTCCTAATTTATCATGATGCCATGTCTTATTTCATTACTATCTGATGTTTCTGAATTTATCTTCAGCAATGCCATTTATGTTCTTGAAGAGACATTAAGCAGACTGTTTTTATTCCATGAAATATTCAGTTCATTTTATCAGTAAGCTGGAAATGCTCAGCTGAGTGAGGAAGTGCATTTTAATTCAAAAACACTCTGAAAGAAGCCCACTTTAATACTCAGCCTCCTTCCTCTGTAAACAGCTTTTAAAGTCTAGTGTGTAATGGTGACCAGTATCACTTTCACAATAGCGTGAAAGAAATTATAAATGCCAAAGATCTAAAGCAAAAGTAAAAAGATACTTAATAGTAATGAATGGTTCTGGTTTCTCCTTGAGGGTTTCTAATTTCTTTTACCTGTTTATGCTGGGTACATTAATGATATATAATACCCAAATTTAGCACAATGGCTATCATCTAAGGAAAAGCACTTGTTTTTGTTTTTTGCTGTACGCGGGCCTCTCACTGTTGTGGCCCCTCCTGTTGTGGAGCACAGGCTCCGGACGCGCAGGCTCAGCGGCCATGGCTCACGGGCCCAGCCACTCCGCGGCATGTGGGATCTTCCCGGACTGGGGCACGACCCCGTGTCTCCTGCATAGGCAGGCGGACTCTCAACCGCCGCTCCACCAGAGAAGCCCTGAAAAGCACTTGTTTTATAAGAAAACATCTAGTAGGAAAACTTGGCATATTTTAAAATGTGTTTGCTAGGTGAATGTTAATATAATTAAATCAGACTTTAAAAACCTAAATGCCGTAACACTGCTGAGTAAACGCTGGTGTTCTCGTTATGTGGTATATGCTGTTTTTCACTTTATTAAAAATTAGAAGAATGTATTTCTAATTTACAGGGAAACTAAACCTTTTAATGGGTCAATATACAGTTTTACTCTGTGTCAGAGTTCCCAAAACCACCCCCAGGTCAATAATTCTTTAGGAGGACTCACAGGATTCAGCATGTAGCTGTACTCATGGCTATAATTTATTACAACAAAAGGACAAAAAGCAGAATCAGCCAAGGGAAAAAACGCCTGGGGCTGAATCCAGGGGAGACCAGGAGCAAGCGGAACCCTCTCTTGGTGGAGTCGCCTAAGAGGTGCTTAATTTCCCCCAGCAAAGAGTCGTTACAGCGAGTTAGGATGTTGGCAACCAGGGAAGCTCCCTAGAGACGGCACCCAGCACTTCAGGCCTTGTGAGCTACTCTCATCAGTTCTGGGAATGATGGGAACGCTTCCGAAATACAGGCAAGGACCAGCCCTGTAAGCAGGTCTTTGAAAGAGTAGTAGTGGGGCCTGCTATGTTAACTCTTTTTTGTACACATTTCACACTTTCTTTCTGCAGCACCCCATATACTGATTATTCTTTGTTCTTAAATAAAGTATGATGAAAATATTGGCTGATTTATGGCAGACTTTCAGAGTGTTTAATGTAAACACAGGGGAATGTCAGTTTTTGAAATTAAAAAAAAATTCACATATGCTTCTGGTCTCTGCTTTAATTTAGTGTTTGGGTGATTTTGATTTTTTTTTTTTTTTTTTTTTTTTTTTGTGGTACGCGGGCCTCACTGTTGTGGCCTCTCCCGTTGCGGAGCACAGACTCCGGACGTGCAGGCTCAGCGGCCATGGCTCACGGGCCCAGCCGCTCCGCGGCATGTGGGATCTTCCCGGACCAGGGTGCGAACCCGCGTCCCCTGCATCAGCAGGCGGACTCTCAACCACTGTGCCACCAGGGAAGCCCCCGATTTTTTTTACTTCATGTTTCCATCTCTCCACATCCTTCTTCCCTTCCCTCCCCTCAGGGTGTTCTAGCCTCCGTGACCTGCCTTCATCTTTTCTTGCCTAGTAAAGTCGTGCTCACCTTTTACATCTCAAAATGCCTCAACTTACAGGTTTTGTAACGTCTAAAACGCCTTAAATATTTTTAGTTTTTGCATTGAACTAAGTTATTATACTGCCTGTGATTAAACTATACTGTTTGCTATATACTATATATAAATATGTTATATACTACTATGCATAATTGTATTTATATGTCTACACGGTTCTGAAAAATAAGACCTTTGTAGTTAGTTCCCTGACTAGGGATCGAACCCATGCTCCCTGCAGTGGAAACACGGAGTCCTAACCTCTGGACTGCCAGGGAATTCCCTGAAGTTTCTTAAATGATTTTAAAAAGTTATTTTATTACTAATATTTTAGAAGCAGCTATTCTTTTTATTTGGTTTTACCTTTTCTCTTTCCCTTTCTTTTTCCTCTCCCTCTGGTCTCTCTTTCTTCCTTTTCTTCTTTCCATGTTTTATTTTAAATGTAGTAGTTTTGATCCATGTGTTGGCAAAAGATCCATAAAGGGAAGACTCTTTTACATCCTGTTTTTTATTCTGTATGATTAATAGAACAAGCAAAATATTTTAAGAAAAATTTCTGTCACTTTAAGGTTGTTGACACTGAAAACATGAGATGCATAGCTATTTGGCAGTTGTCCTTGTATGTAGATCAATATAGATATTCTATTTAGACAATGTGATGTGGTCTATATATTGTACAAATATGTTTCTTCAGTATTTATGTCCTGTCCATTCATTTCCTATTATGTATGAGACACTATGCTGGTAAATAATAAAATAGTGTATGGTCCCTAAATAATTAATAGGAATTACAGTCTAACAAGGGGAAAACTTACAATCAAATAACCACACAAATATTTTTATAATTTCTGATTAGTGCTAAGAAGGAAAATTACA